TTTCATCTATTATACATCTCTGTCCATTGATGTTGGACCACACCAAAATAGAGTAAATAGACAAATAGACGCGGCAACTTCGGCAACAAAATGAAATTTCTATAAACTTCACAAATCCTTAATATCACAAGTGGTATGCATATTCATAGGGTGTGCATAATTTGCGGACTGGAATAAAATGCTGTGGACTGGCTATTTCCGGCAAACAAATCAATATCAAATCATTGTTTTTATTGCATATCTGGATAAAGAGTTTCTGATGTTTTCTTTGCTGCCATAGGGGAGCACCTTTTACTCATCTTTTACTCCTGTTCTGTCATAAAATTTTGTGTGGGTATTTTTGCAAGTCAAATCATCTGAGTTTCCTGCTCAAAAATCGATCTATCTCATTAAAATACAGGATGAAGTTTTCGGAATTTTTCCCCATTCCCTTGAGGAACATTTTACTTCTGTATTTTTTTTCCATAAAATCTTGCAGACTGGGTATTTTTGCAAATCAGATCATCTCAATTTTATAAAAAATCGATGTTTCCCAAGAAAATACACCATGGAAGATTCATGGAAATTTTCTCTAGTGCACAAGCTTTTATGAAAAAACACAGGAGTAAAGTGCTCCCTAGGGAAAAATTTCAAAAACTCTTCATCATGTATTTTTATGAGATAAATCATCAGATTTTGGGAAAATTGAGATGATTTGACTTGTTAAAATACCCAGTCCGCAAAATTTTATGAAAAAACGCTCAAGTAAAGTGCTCCCCAGGGGGAAAAGAAGAAAAATTTCAGAAAGTTTATCCTGTATTTTCATGAGATATATTGATTTTTGAGGAAATTGAGATGATTTGACTTGCAGAAATACCTAGTCAGCAAGATTTTATGAATGAAGAAACACACCAGTAAAGTGCTCCCCATGGGGAGCTAGTGAAAAATTTGAAAGACTTCATCATGTATTTTTATGTGATAAATTGATTTTTGAGAAGATTGAGCTGATTTGACTTGCAAAATACCCAGTCTGCTAAATTTCATATAAAAAACACACCACCAAAGTGCTCCCTAGGGGGGCTAGGAAAAAATTTCAAAAACTTTCCATTGTGTATTTTCATGAGGTACATCGATTTTTTGAGAAAATTGAGATGATTTGATTTGCAAAATACCCAGTCCCCAAGATTTCATGGAGAATTACACTGGTAAAGTGCTCTCCTGGGGGGCTAGGGAATAATTTCAAAAACTCTTCATCATGTATTTTTATGGGATAAATCAATTCTTGAGAAAAATGAAATGATTTGATTTGCAAAAATACCCAGTCCACAAGATTTTATGAAAAAATAGCACAAGTAAAGGGCTCCTCAGGAAGGCTAGGGAAGAATATTTGAAACTTTATCCAGTATTCATCCTCTATCTTCGTGAGATAAATCGATTTTTGAGAAAATGGAGATGATTTGACTGGCAAAAATACCCAGTCTGCCAGATTTTATGAATAAACACAAAGGAAAAGTGCCCCCCAGGGGGGCTAGGGAGAAATTTCAAAAACTTCATCCTGTATTTTCATGAGATACTTCGATTTTTGAGAAAATTGAGATGATTTGATTTCCAAAAAAACCCAGTCCACAAGATTTTATGAAAAAACATACCAGTAAAGTGCTCCCTGGGGGGGCTAGGGAACATTTTCAAAAACTTTCCTTTGTGTATTCACATGAAATACATCGATTTTCGAGAAAATTGAGATGATTTGATTGGCAAAATATCCAGTCCTCAAGATTTTATGGAAAAACACACTAGTAAAGTGCTCCCCAGGGGGCTAGGGAAAAATAGGGAAACATTTCAAAAACAAATCAAATCATTTAATTTTTCTTAAGAATCGATTTATCCCATCAAATACATGATGAAGAGTTTTTGAAATTTTTCCATAGCCCCCCCCCCTTGGAGAGAACTTTACTGGTGTGTTTTTCCATAAAATCTTGTGGACTGGGTATTTTGGCAAATCAAATCATCTCAATTTCCTCAAAAATTGATTTATCTTATGAAAATACATGATGAAACATTTTTGAAATTATTCCCTATCCCCCTGGGGAGCACTTTACCCGTGTGATTCTCCATAAAATCTTGCGGACTGGGTATTTTGCAAATCAAATCATCTCAATGTTCTCAAAAAATCGATGTAACTCATGAAAATACACAATGAAAAGTTTTTGAAATTTTTTCCTAGTGCCCCTAGGGAGCACTTTACTGGTGTGCTTTTTAATAAAATTTCACAAACTTGGTATTTTTGCAAGTCAAAGCAGCTCAATTTTCTCAAAAATCTATTTATCACATAAAAATACATGATGAAGTATTTCAAATTTTTCACTAGCTCCCCCTGGGGAGCACTTTACTGGTGTGTTTCTTCATTCATAAAATCTTGCTGACTAGGTATTTCTGCAAGTCAAATCATCTCAATTTCCTCAATAATCGATGTATCTCATAAAAATACAGAATGAAGTTTTTGAATTTTTTTCCCTTTTCCCCCTGGGGAGCACTTTACTCCTGCGTTTCTTTATAAAATTTTGCGGACTGGGTATTGTAACAAGTCAAATGATTAAATTTTCTCAAAATCTGATGATTCATCTCATAATAATACATGATGAAGAGATTTTGAAATTTTTCCCTAGGGAGCACTTTACTCCTGTGTTTTTTCATAAAAGCTTGTGCACTAGGAAAATTTCCATAAACTTTTCATGGTGTATCTTTATGAGATAAATCGATTTTTGAGAAAATTGAGATGATTTGTCTTGTAAAAGTACCCACTCAGCAAGATTTCATGAAAACACACAGGAGTTAAGTGCTCCCCAGGATGGTTAGGGAAAAAATTGAAAACATTTCATTATGTATTTTTAAGAGATAAATCGATTTTTGAGAAAATTGAGGTGATATGACTTGTAAAAATAAGCAGTCCGCAACATATTATGAAAAAACACACCAGTAGAGTGCGCCCCTGGGGGGCAATGAAAAAAACCAGAAACTTTTGATCCTGTTGTTCCATGAGCTGGATCCAGATATGCAATAAAAACAATAATTTGTTTGCTGAAAATAGCCAGTCCCGAGCATTTTATTCCAGTTCGCGAATTATACACTCCTGCATTCATAGTTTAGAGCCATATATTATTATTTATTATTACTCTGGAACCTGGAGACGTTATTGATTGATGAGGAATTGCTTCAATCAATCAATCGCTATATAGAAATGAGCGTACGCCACCTAGCGGGGTTCTTCAAAGCTCTCAAAGCGGTCTGTTCACTCTGTACTCTGTTTAGATTTTTAGAATATATTAGTTACAGTGACTAGAGTCCCTGTAATATTTGTGTGTTTACATGAGTGTTCCCTTAGAAAAAAATACATACTAATTTTTCGGACATACCTACTCATTTCCTTTATTTGCAAACATAAAATGATGATTATGATGATGTAAAATTATAGATTATACACATTATAAGGTATATTCATCAACATGTTAGACATATTTCAATTCATATAAGTAATGGCGATTATTTCAATTTTGTGTCTACTCCCTCATCTGATGTATCAGTGACGAAATTAAATTGAGGTATCAGCACGTATTTTGATTTTATTTATGTGTACCTATCCACCATGTTTACATTTTTACTAAAAAGAGGGGTAAGGGGTGTAAAATTATATTTTGACGCTTGGCTTGGCGCGCCTCTGTAAGGAACTACATTATTGTTCCAAGTTTGATGAAGAGTATACAGTGTGACCACTTGAGCGCGGACACGCTTGGAAAAAACTACAGTTTTCAACAGATTTTTTTTGTTCCAGCAGAAGGAGTATCAAAAAGTCCACTCGTTTACACAAATTTGCCTAATTAATTTAAATTTACAGTAACAATTAACATATTATGTTTTTTCTCATATCTACTAAAAATTGCAAAATATCATTAGTTTGGTTTGTTTCAAGAAAATTTCGACTCCATTACTGGATTCAGCATCCTTCAATTAGTTCAATCGCAAAATTCCATCGAATCCATACAATGAACTAAGCCAACGTTGGCTTGCTTAACTTTTATATATCATACTTTCCCAACTTGGATTAGTTACCTGTGGACAGGTTCAATAAACCTTCATTTTCGGAAATTAGGCACAATATCTATATTAAAATACGGGTTACCGGATTATCTTGTAAGGGTTGATAGCAAATAAATATCATTATACCTACTAAGAAAACAAATTCAATAGTGCTGAACTATTGAGGTCTAATTGCTCGTTAAGTAAAATGTCAACATTTTTTAGTTTGTTGATTTCTAATGATTTTCTACATGTAGAATTTCGAAATTATCATCAAAACTAAGGTTTTATTCAAATATATGGTTGGCGTATGTTGAATTTGTTTTCATTTTCAAAAAATTCATCTTATGTTCATGAATGCGCTGATTAAACGTACGACCTGTCTGACCGATATATACCTTAGGACAAGATCCACAGGTGGTTTTGCGAATTTATAAATTTTGTCTTTATTATTTTTGATAACCTTCCCAACGTGTTATTTGTTCTATATGCTTCTCTTAAGTTCTGTTTATGTAGAAATGAAGCTAATTTTTCTGTTGATGATCCAAAATAGGTTAAAGTTCTATATAATTCTGATTATTATTCTTGATGGTAGGATAAACTTCTTGAATAGCTTTATTATGAAGTTTTTTTAGAAAGAATACTGTCTATCTATCAAATTAACGTTGTATCCATTGTTGACTGCAATCTGTTTGATAATATTGAGTTCTTTATTGAAATTTACTTCTGAAAGAGGGACATTCACTAGCCTGTGTATCATAACTATTATACGCTCCAATTTTATGTTAATATGTGTGTTTGAGAATTTTGTGGAAATCTTATCGTTTGTGAAGTTTTTACATTTGCCATGGATTTCCGTCAAGTAACGGCCGAGTCAATTAAAAAAAAAATTGCCTTTTTCAAACTTCATTGATAACCGTGTATCACTTTTAATACATTGCAGAGTAATGGATATGAACGTAGGTGATTTCAAGAACCAGTATGAACCAAAACACGCGACACCACCAAAAGCTATTGGTGTTATAGGAATTGGTGTGATGAGCGGAGAATTGGTGAAAAATTTAATCAAATCTGGTTACAACGTCAACATTTGGAGCCGGAATGGGCAAAAGTGTGAGTTCTTGCATACAAACTTAGGACACAATATGTTCGCCGGAAAGCTCAAAACGTTATTGAGTGCCCGCGCAGTTCTGAAAAACTCTGATATAGTATTCAACTGTGTGTCGGACCATATTGTTTCGAAGAAAATCATCAGGACTAATTTTGGGTTGAACAATGCTTCGGATACCATACTTCAAGGTAAAGGATTCATCGAGATGACTCCGATAGAGCCGACAGCCTCACTGGAAATCAAAGAAATGATTGAAATGAAGGGAGGAAAGTACCTTGAGGCCCAGGCACAGACTAACAAACTGGGTGGCATTTTAATTCTCACTGGTGGAAATAAATCACTGTTTGATACATGTAACTCTTGTTTCGAGGCTATAGGATATGATGCTCTTTATTATGGTGAAGTTGGGTAAGTTCAACAGAAGTATTAACCCCTTGAGACCTGATATATTGAAAAAAGATTGAACATTTTTTTCTGTGAAAATAATCATTTCTTGTGTTCATATAAAGACTAATGTAAGCATATCATATCAGTTTTCCTTGATTTTTTGGGAAAAATATAATGTGCATAATTGTGCACAAAACGTTTCAACTGAATTAAAAAAAAAGTATTACATGTACTCAATTCAAACAAAACTCAATCATATTTCATTTTGTATTTTCTGAGAAAAATAGATCGGAGTTCGAAAATGTGTAGTAACTTGAATTATCTTCTATGGTACATTACAAAACAATTTCGTTCCTTCTTTATACATAAATGTACTTTACATTTATCACAAAAGAAATGCGTTCTCTTATTACACTTGAAATTTTTGCAACGCTTTTTCCTTCCTTACTTGGGCCGGGATTGGCGCAGTGGAAGAGCGTCCGTCTCACGACCGCAAGGTCGTGGGTTCGATTTCCAGCACGGGCAAGGAACTTTTTTCAATATTTCATTTACGAATTAAATATTGTAAAGTTTCGGAGCATCGGCTGGGGATAGTCCTGCACGATTCGCTGTTGCGTTCCAATTAACAGTGCTGCTCCTAAAAGTGGCGCATGGAGTTAGTAACAAAGCCTACACAGAACACGCAGAAAGATATGATGATGTGGTTGTGAGCATCAGAGAAGAAGTAGGACGGTGTATGTAGGTGGGTGTAGAAAACTACCAGCTGAGCGTGAGAGCGGGCCAGCTGCTTAAGTAGACCTCGGTCTCGGGGGTTAACGATGATAGTTAGCAGGCCTGCCACTGCGCATATGGTAGTGAGTACATGTATGTAGGTGGGTGTAGAAAAACTATCAGCTGAGCGTGAGAGCGGGCCAGCTGCTTAAGTAGACCTCGATCTCGGGGGTTAACGATGATAGTTAGCAGGCCTGCCACTGCGCATATGGTAGTGAGTACATTACTAGCCTACAAAACACAGCTGAAAAACTCTGAAAAGAGAGCTGAGGGGCGGTGCCTGAAAAGGATGTTAGCCAGCTCTCTTGAGCGAACCACATCAGTCATTGAAAACACTTGGGGTTGGCAAAAAGGTCCCATTGGGGACTAGTTGCTGACGTGGAAACGTCCCCCACCAGTACCAGTACCAGTAGTCCTTCCTTACTTCCATCTAGATGTGGAAGATGGTCTACAGAATCATGTTGAACTCCCGGACATGGCCTGATGTCTTCATTTCTTTTCGGAATCTTTGATATTTGCACCTCAGGTGTACTGCTGCTCGGTCTTCCTCTCTTGCTTTGATGTACTGGCTTTCCTACTTTCACCAAACATTCTGCTGAATGTAGTCGAAAATCTAGGAGTTGCATCTGGGATTTTTTTGGCACTTGTTGTCGATTGCAGGCAGTCTCGTCTGTATTCAAACCAACTGTTGACAACAGCGAAGTCAACGGCATGGAATATAAGCCGAAGTGTCCACTTTCTGGGACGTATGTAAATCCGATATAGTCCGATCATTTGATCGAGTAAATCAACGCCATAAAGTGATTCTGATTATATAATTTCACAATCTCTGGTCGGTTAACGTCTATGTATTTCTTCTCGTTTTTGTCCCATCTAGAAACTACGTCTTGTTGGCCAACACCAACAAAATTTGAAGCAAGGACTACTGAACGTGTATTTTGAAAAAGTTATGATTTTTTTTTCGAAATTCCGAAAAAGGGGGCCTGTGGGGTTAATTCTTGCCCGACAAAATATTGTAAGATATACATATTATCGAGTACTATCAGAAGAACACATTCATGAAAAAAAACTCCCATCTACGTGTATTTTGAAAAAGTTATGATTTTTTTCCGAAATTCCAAAAAAGGGGGCCTGTGGGGTTAATTCTTGCCCGACCAAACATTGTGAGATGAACATATTATCAAGTACTATCAAAGGAACAGATTCATAGAAAAAAAATCCCATCCACGTGTATTTCGAAAAAGTTATGATTCTTTTTCGAAATTCCAAAAAAGGGGGCCTGTGGGGTTAATTCTTGCCCGACAAAATATTGTGAGATATAAACACTATTGAGTACTATCAGAGGAACACGTTCACAGAAAAAAACTCCCATCCACGTGTATTTTGAAAAAGTTATGATTTTTTTTCGAAATTCCTAAAAAGGGGGCCTGTGGGGTTTATCCTTGCCCGACAAAATATTGTGAGATATACACACTAAGTAGTAAGTACTATCAGAGGAAAACATTCACAGAAAAAAAAACTCCCATCCACGTGGATTTTGAAAAAGTTACGATTTTTTTTTTCGAAATTCTGAAAGAGGGAGCTGTGTGTGAAGTTGATTCTTGTCCGACAAATTATTGTGAGATATACAGATTATTATAGACCCTCAGAGGATATCATTGATGTAAAATAGTTTGATGCATAGACATATTTTGGAGGTTTAAGTTATTTCATGGCCAGTCATGAATATAAATTGATAATGTACGACCATTGGCGGTATGGCGCGCGCCTTGAATATTAGGCGAAGTCGTGGCTGGAACTCGTGGCTGGTTTCACACTGACATGAAATCTAGCAGATCATTCCAGTTATCTAGGTTTCTTTCTAGAGCGATATAATAGTTTTGCTGTGTTATTTTTTCGACTTATAACCCATATATTTTTATTAATTTTCTTGTTGATTTCATTCGCACAATTTTTTCTATGGATAAAATTTGAAAATGGATCTGTTTTAATGCTCTGCCCCCTCTGCCACCCGTAGGACCGCTCTTTACTTGAGCTTCGATCTCCTGTCACTGATATATTTGCACAATTATGGAAAAAATTCTCTCGGACAGATGATGTTCCAATATCATAATTTCCATTTGAATCTATTATTCTTCTTGTTGAATTTGGTATTTCTCGATTACCTTAGAAGCTGAATGAGTTGCAGGCATTACGATCATTAATAAGTTCGGTGACTGTCAAACTCTAGGAGTCATAATTACTTTATTTCTGTACTTTTATAATTTCGAACCGATAGTAAAAGCTGTCAATTTTTACGATAGTACAAAACCATAGATACTAGCGATAGTGTTATCGACAGATTTCCACTTGCTGGTTTTTGATATTTTTTTCTTTGGAGTTTCTGTCACAATCTGTTATTGTCAAAAACCGTTCAATTGCTCGAGGACTTTTCAATTTTTGGATGTGACGTGAAAAAATTTTCTGTGCCGCTATTTTGAAATCAAATCTCCACTTGTGATGTCATTGAAGAGGGATTTTTTTACTTTATCGATTGGCATAAACATATCTACATATCCTCGACTTTGGTTTATTCTCGTTGAAACCGGAAGTGATATTTAATTGATCTGTGAGTAGAAGTCCAACGTATCACAAAGTGGAGTGGTTTGTTACCAGGGATCAAGAGATGACTTCGAGCTTTATTCCCTGGTGATTCAAAATTGTTTCTTCATGAAAAATGTGGTTTTTAAGACACTGTATATCCGATCCCAATGAGGAAAGTCTAACATGAAGAGGAACTAAATGAAGCCCTGGCCAATGATTTCGTTGTCATCCGGTAGATAGTGATTCTGATAGGCACTAGAATACAGGGTATTTATTCCATTTGAAATAACGAAGTTGTAGAGCCTACTTCGGGTATGAACGGAAGTCCTAGAAATTTTCAAATATTTTAGCTGAAGTGGTTTTCATCCATTTCATTGGTATCTTTTGGATAAAATGGGCTGATTTGGTTAGCCTGTATGAAGTCATATGCCCGAGAGAGAGATACCTGGAACATTCAGGTATTATCAACGATTGGCAATATGGCTTCCGTCATCAGAGATCAACTGGTGACCTGCTCGCTTACGTCTCACATATATGGCAGTAATCTATTGAAAAATATGGTGAAACCTAGTAGGCCCTGGTCTGGTACCACGGACTCCTCGCCAAGCTTCCATCTCATGGCTTGCCTTCCCAGCTATGTTCTCTACTATAGTTTTCTCTCAAACAGGTATCTCCATGTAGTCGTCGACGGAGTTGCATCTGACTCTCTTATCATAAATGCTGGTGTTCCGCAAGGATCAATTCTAGCACCAACACTATTTCTACTCCATATGTCCAACTTCATGTCCAGTAAACAGCTTCGCGGATTATAGTACCCTCCATACCGCCTTCTCTTCCAGGGCTCCAATACCAGCCAAGCAAATCAGAAACGAACGAGCGAGAAATGTTGACAACATAAATATGGACTTGGCAACAATTCTCGAATAGGGATCCAATAACTTGGTAGATTTCAATGCAAACAAAACACAAGCATGCCTTTTCTCTAGAAAAGCCGATCTCACTGTGCCAAACATAAGCATGTCCATTTCAATGCTTGGTATTACTATCAGCATTAACCTTTTTTGGGAAAATCACGTGAGATCAATTGCGAAAAGTGTTCCAAAAAACTTGGTTTTCTGTTTCGGGCCAGGAGCTATTTCACTTCCAGTCAGCTGCTTATGATCTATAAGGCAGTAGTGATCCGACCTGTCCTGGGATACTGTTCCTATATTTGGAGTGCCGCACCCAAACATACCTACCCTGAAACTGTTACTGCAATTCGTCTCGTGGGTGATGCCTCGCTCACAAACTCACTCACTTATCTGGAACATCGTAGAAAAGTTGGCGATCTGGATCTATTTTATAGATATTTTTATGGACGGTGATCTTATGAAATATCAACAATTGTACCTCCCTTGGCAGTCCCCGCGAGATTAACCCGTTGAGTTGATGCTTCACACCCCTTCGTGGCCACTTTGGAGACCTGCAGAACATCTCTTTCCAAAGACTCGTTCATCCAACGAACAGCGAGGCTCTGGAACACATTGCCAAGGGAGGTGTTCCCCGAGGCATATAACCTGCAGAAATTCAAGAAGAACAACAATTCCTACTTTATTTCCCTCGGTTCTCGCGACGTTCTCTAAACATTACAGGATATCCCTTTTCGTGGGAACCAAAACATAAAAAAAAATGAAGCACTCAATCACATACCTACCTATATGATGATATATTATTTCCAGGCATGCAACAATAATCAATTTGATTATTCAACAATTGAAAGCAGTATGCATTGCTGCTTTATCTGAAGGCTTTGCATTTGCCCATGAGTGTGGAATAAAAGAAGAAGATTTTCTCCAAATTATGGAGTCCATAACAGACACCCAAAGTAAATACCTTATGGACAAGGCCAACATGATAGTGAAAAAATCTTACACCAACGTGCAACAATCTTTGAGTAACATGCATAAGCAATTGACAGTAGCATCAGATGTATCAAGAGAAGTTGTACAACCAATGTTTTTGGCCTCTTCTTTAAGCGAAATCATGAAGAGCTGTCAAAGAACTGGGTATGGAAATCATGATGTGTCTGCTATTCGCCAGTACTATCATTGAAACGTTTATCAAAGGTAATAATTTATATTATTTCTCTTGTTATTCAGTGGCTCTTCCGTTTCAACTTTGAATTAGTCCCGGCAAATTTTTCATACTGTTGAATGAAAATATATCAGAAAACCTTAAGCAGGAAAACATCACTCTTGACAGTGATAAGAAAATACTTAATACTGTAAATGAATTTTTCATTAATGCCTGTCCAGATATAAAACAAGGAGAGTGTGACTTGTCAAACATTTCGATTTGTAAGGAAAATTTTACACCTAGATTGACAAATGAAATTGAAATAATGAATTTCATAAAACAACTTGAGAACGAACAATCTGTTGAGGAAGATGGGATACCAATAATTTCATTGAAAGAATCAGCAGTTTTGTTCAGGTCTTTATCCAGAACAGTTTTGAATAAATGTAAAAACTTCACAAACGATAATTTCATTAAGTTAGTTGAAAATAGGCTGAATTAAACCCATCTATAAAAAAGGTGACATACTGGATTTCATAAACTACAGGTCCGTCTCTTTGCTCTCAAATATTAATTAAATTTTGGATAAACTCATTAATGACAGGTTAATCGAATTAATGGAGAAAAATAAAATAATATCTGATGCACAAAATCGATTTCGAAAGGGTACTGTGAGAGCAATGTATGTAGCAATATCAAATATCATAGATGCACTCGATAAAACCATAAGCCAACAGCATTGTACCTTGATCTTTCCAAAGCCTTCAACAGTGTAGATCATAACATACTTTTGAAAAAATTGAAATGCTATGGAGTATGGGGAATTTCCTCAAAACTAATACAGTCCTATCTATTTGAGAGAAAACAAAGAACAGTGCACTGAGAAAACTTGGCCAAGTAAATTGTTTTCTTGAAAAAAAGTCGATTGTGACAAGAACATTTTCACCAACGGTAGGAAAATATGGTACTTGCAGTAGGCAAAACTATATTTCTGGAACGATGTTTTTGCTGTAAGTGATCAGAACACTTGTTGGTATCAACCAAGTCGATATGTACTTAGAGTTCGCTAATTCTAAGTGAACACTAAACTAGTACTAGGTTAACGAATACTCACTATTATTAAATTATTTTTCTGACATAAGATCACTTGCTCTGAGCGAACTCATCAATAAAGACAATATATCAAGTCGATTGTTGCAGGTGACAGTTCACTTGTAGTTATAGATCTCTTTTCCGTTCGGACATCTCCGATATTATTCGAGTACCCACGCCCAACGCGATCACTGTCCAGTGTCCACGAGTCCACGGCGTCATTTCGATCTTAGCATTCGTGAAGTTAGTATACTTTCGTTCCCGCTAGTAACATTGAAATTTTACGTCATGCAAGTGCGCTTTCGAACAACTACTATATCATATTCGTATGAGAATTCTCTGATTGTGTGCCGTGCTCTGAGCTGTGGGGTGTTTAGTTCTTGATCTGTTCTCTTGGAGGAGATGATGAAATACAAAACTCTTCTAGAACAGTACATAATTGTTTCTACATATATACAGGATTTTTTCCACTTCCTATGATACTCGAAGTGAAATGAAGTGACGTTTAAAAAGTATGAGAGTTGATTAATCTTCACTGCTGGAAGGAAAAAGATAGTGAACCAGAGTGCAGTGTAGTGAGTGAGAGTACCGTTTTTCAAGTTCCATGATGCTGATATACGCGGTATCTAGTATCTCAATATTTGTCGTCAGCCTTGCCTTTTTTGTATTTTCTGGATTCATCATACCTATATAATAAAATGTTTTGAATGCATGTGTTTTTGTCTTATTACCAAGGTTTTATCATTTTTCAGAGAACAATGGAGGTATTTTTTCATACTAGCTTATGACAAGTGAATAAGTCACTATTGACAAGTAAATAGGTCACTGATGACTAGTAGATAAGTCACTAATGACATGTAATTAGGCCACTAATGACTAGTGAACAAGTCACTAATGAAAAGTGAATGAGTCACTAATGACAATTGAATAGGTCACTGATGACAAGTGATGTGTTCACTAACCGTTATCACTCTGAAATTTAATGAAACAGATCGATAGTGTTAGGTGTACATTTTCAGGAACACAAATATTCTTGTGGTTATCAACTTGTTTCCTTGTCCCATATAGTATACAAGTTTTTACTTGCCACTATTAATTATTCACTTAGGGTTAGTGATTTTTTTTCTCCGTGTGGAACTGAATGAAAAAATGCACAAAGTTGAATCGGATATAGTAATTGTTAAGAAAGGTGTGCCACAAGTTTCAATCTTGGGTCTACTACTATATATTTTATATACGAATGGAATGCAATCAGTAATACAATTATGCTGACGATACAACGATCATCTTTAATGAACCGAGTGCTGAAGAAACAAAAAATAGGGCAATACAGGCTTTGTAACAATTAGATAAATGGTATATTGCTAATGGGCTTTTGTTGAATGTAGAAAAGCCACAGTTGATGCAGTGGCATAAAATTAAAACAAATAACAGGACTATCGAACTAGAATATGATAACACCAAACTAAAAACTGAATCAAGTGTCTTTTCTGGGTTTGATAATAGACAGTAGATTGGACTGGAAGTATCACACAGACAAAATCTCAAAATCAATGTCCCAATATAGCTATGCACTTGGAATATAGAGCCTCAATGTCGATTATAAAACAGTGTTAATTGCATATCATGCCTATATTCAATCAAAAATCAGCTATGGCATTGTATTTAGTGGAAACTCAATTCATGTAAAACGCACACTGTTGATGCAAAAAAGGTGCCTGAGATATATTTTCAAACTAAAATATAGAGAAAGTTGCAAATCAATATTTATTCAAAATAAAATCTTGACAATAACGTGCATTTATATATTTTAGAATCGATAATATCGCTCTCTCTCTCCATTCCTAAGCATGAATACAACACAATAAATAAAGAGGATCTCACACCAGACTTTAATAGGCTTAGTTATATTCAGAAAAATGCGCCATGTCATTTAAAAACAAGTATGGACTGCCCATTAAAAACCGAAAATCAAACTAAAAACCTATAGATTATGCCTACTATAATATTCAAGACTTCCTCCTGGATCAGCATCATATTTTCTGAACATGAATGAACCTTGTGATCTAATCTAATTGTGAAGTATTTTAATTTCTTTTTATTTGTAGCCATGTTGTATTGTAGGTTTGTTGTTTGTGGCATAGATTGTCTATTATTATTATGTATATTTTGTATGAACCTTTGTATTCTATATTTTTGACAAGCTCAACACCCAGTACAGGGTATTTTATAGAGTAAATAAATGCTATTCTATTCTACTGTTATACCCAAGCGGATACCGGAGGCTCAAGTGTATCATTCATTCTTACTCATCCTCATGTATTATCCTTCCATTTGTTTTTTATAGGTCATTGAAGGCCCTATTCAGGAAGACTGAATCGTGCATCGTGCCACATTCCTAGATCACTATATCTTTCAATACCGGCAACACCGATCTCCGCGCCTGAAAGTTATCAAAATGTCAGTAACTTCGTAACAGTATCGTGTCCAGATAAACACATTGTTGTTTTTTTTTCTAAGTTTCCATTTCAATATTCGAAAGTACTAATTTCAATTCAGTAGCAGGGGCGGACCATGAGTTTGTGGGACTTTGTGCTGATAATACTTTTTGTCCTGCTTAATTAACTTACCGATTGCCATTTTGTCAAGGAACTGTTTTCAATAATGATTTACTGGATACAAAGTATTCCAGAGAAAAGAGGACAATAAAATATTAAATAGTATGATCTACCCGACTCATGACCGCGAGGTCGTGAGTTGAAATCCCAGCCAGGGCAAGGCATTTTTCTAATATTCAATTTACGAATTGAATATACTGTTGAGTTTCGGATTATCGGCTGCTCCTGAGGTGGCATATGGAGTTCATAAAAAAGTCTGCACAGAACACCCAATTCAGAATATGTGGGAATATGAGGTCGATGACCAGTTGCTATACCGGGTGTTTCTCAACAGTGACTCACCGCTATAACTTTTTTGTTCCTACAGATAAACAAATGAAATTCTGTGTGTAAGTATAGTAAATGAATTATTTGACGTATCCAATTGATTTCTGTCACTTCCGGTTTGGTCGATATTTTGAATCAATATCTAGTGTCATAATAACTCTATGGATTAAAAATTTCAGAATGATAAATGTCAAAAAGTGGCAAATGGGGTGTCATTGTAGTCACAATGTTATTCTCTATCGAAATAAGAAAAAAATATACCGGGTGTCCCATTTAAAAAAGAAAAATAAGAGTCATTTTCGACCAAACCAGAAGTGACAGAAAACGATTGAATACGAATTATAATGCATATTTATGAACTATACTTACACACCAAATTTCATTTGTTTATTTGTGGAAACAAAAAAGTTATAGGGGTGAGCCACTTTCGAGAATCACCCGGTATACATACATGCGCATACCAACAAAGTACACATATGACCTATGCATATAATAGGAATTTTTACGATTTTAGATTTTTTATTCTCATTTGTGTTCATTGTCTTCAATGGGGGTTGGGGCCCTACGTATCCACGGGGCCCTACGCTGCAGCCCAATAAGCCCTTAAGTATAGATCCGCCCCTGATCAGCAATTTTTTTTTCATTAACAGTTTCACATCCACTTTATATGCATTTGTCGGATGATAGCCATGTCAATGGTCGAAACATGTATTGAACCTTGTTGAAGCGGAATGAACTGCGTCTACTTGACATTAAACTTGTAGCAGCGACGATTTCGAAAGTTTTTTCTTGATATATTATTTTGTATTCTTCCAACATGTTTCAAACAGGGTATCACTGACTGTCAGTGAGGAATTTCACTTCAATATAGATTTCTTATACTGAAAATTATATTTGTCAATGATTGATCTTCTTGTAATCCAATTAAACATAAAAATATTCAGTAGTCAGCTCTGGTTCATCACAAAACTTTTTGAATAACGTTTTTAAATGAACTCCAAACTTGTTCTTTTCTTTTTCAGGTACATAGCAAACACTCCATCTACCAAATTTCAAGTTTTCTTTCAAGAACCACCGTTTTATTTCGATTTTCTGAGTAATTTTCGTTTTTTGAACAATTATGTTCCATTGTTTTGTTGGAAATCCATTGAACTTTGAGTTCAAAGAAGCTGCATCATATCAGAAATTTGATTATCTGGTAAGTGTCTGGAATATTGAGATATTTCAAATTTCAAACTATTGTTTTGGGCAACACTGGACTTGTCAACGAGTTCTATGACTGTAAAAATCTTATAATGAATATTTTTCTACTTTCCAGGTAGCCAACAACTGAACCTGCCAGTGTTCAAGCTGATTCCTAAGAATTTTCGTTATGTTTGGAAATCGTTTTTTCAATTGAATTTTGTTGAAAAAATATCAAAAAGCCGTTCATCTGGTAAGATTTTCTGACTTTCATACATCTCACCTTCCTTCTTCCTTAGCTCATTTATTAGTTAAGTTTAAATTATTTTTTCTGCAATGGACTCAAAAGTCGTCCATTTTTGTTCCAAAATCAGCTCTAGAAGTTTCTCTTAGAGAAAATAAAATGAATAGTATGTGTGTTGTTAGGCAACACTTTTAGTATTTAGGAGCAAAAGTGAAGTTTAACTCCGTGGAACTAAAAGTGTGTCGGGTGACAGCTGATATGATAGCGGCTTTGGCACTGACATGCTCAAATGAAACAAAATAGTGGTACTTCACTTATATTTTATTAATTAGATATCAATTATTTCAATTGCAGAAAAAATTGCATGTTTCATTCGGATCAAAAGTGACTCTGTTTGACTCGCAAAATTTGCGTGCTTGGCTTCGCGGTCGCTTTACCTCGCAAACAATAGAGCAATGTACTATTATTTTGCTGATTTCATTTGTATTATAGGGCGCATACAGAAACATATTTTCGTTTATGGGATTTTGATTTTAACATGCACATAATGCTATAGTCGGTTTTGGTTATCAAAATCGATGAACACAATTCTAACAAAATAGACCAACACATTTTGCGTTTTCAGGTAGCCTACGACGGAAAATGCCACATATGAAATCATTTTAGTTTCCTGTTCAATTTTTCTGTCGTTTTTTAATTCGAATTTGAAGATCTACCCTACGAGTATTCAAAAATCTGATAATTTGGTAAGTTTTTCCAATCGGTTGAGGGGATTTGAGAAACAATATAATTTTAGTTTGACTAGAGAGTGACCTATTACTGTTGAATTCTCATAATTCAATAGCATCGAATTATTCGGTAGTTAGCTCTGCTTTATCACAAAAATACTCAATAAACATCATATAAAATCTCAAACCGTTATTTTATATTTCAGGTAGCCAATTGACACTGCCGAAATGTAAGCCTATAGAAATTCTGGGAATTTCTGTTCGATTTTTATTTTAGAAGTATGTATTTTTCTGTTTCATTTTGAGAAAACTTTCTCAAATTATTGTTTTTATTAGTGTTCCTTGTATTCGTATTCTGAGAAACTTCTCCCAAGTATATTACATATAATGTATCACCTGGTGAGTTTTCATTTAAACTATTCAGGAATTTTTATCAAGGCTTAAATGGCCCTATTGAGAAATAAAAATGAAACTGAATTTTTCTTGTGTAGGTACCCAACAACTGAACCTGTCAAACATTCAAAATATTCCTTTGCCTTTTCGAGTTAATCATGTTAATTCACGTTGCTGCATTTCAATTTGAATTTAATGAAGCTTTCTGAATACTGATAGAGTGAATGAGTATTACAATACAGGAACCAAAATGTCTATACCTAATACCACACTAGATATACATTGGATGTCTCAAAATGTCCTGCGCCTGTCTAATGAATTTCCATTGTAAATCCACAGGCCACAAGTTTGGATGTCCATTGGATCTCCATCCTGTACATCAACTGTACAACTACTGTACATGCATTTTATAAATGTATGATTTGAACAACTACAGTACACCTACAGTACAGGGGTGAATGTATTTCACGCTTGCAACACTCAATATCTCGAGAACTAATCGATATATTGGAAACTTCAAAACAAAATTTCAAATGAGATGTTTTTCACTTTCGAATGATGCCCTCCAAACCTTATTTCCCCATTACATAAACAGGGGGTGTGAACATGTTTAATTTTTCTAAATGAAAACACCCTATATTTTATTGCATATCTTAAAAGAGTGATTCTTGCTGATTTCTAAAATATATAATTAAGGTCAGGTCAACTGACAGTAGATCTTTTCAATAATCTCCTGGTTTCAGCTGAACTTGAGTTGATGAAGATGATTTTATGGCAAAAGTTTTATTCTTTCGATTCACCCAGTAATACTCAATGGAATTTATTAAAATTATATAATTTAGAAATCAGCAAAAATCACTCTTAAGATATGCGATAAAATATTAGATGAGCCATTTGAAAACATTGAATGTTTTTGCATCCTCCGTTTATGGAATGGGGATATAATAAAAGAAATAACATCTGATTTTTATCAATGAGGAAGATTGAAAGATATGGTTTTTGAAACCCGACCAACAACTAGAGGGACGATATGATCAAGAAACTCGTTTCCTCAGATCATAAGAAATACATAGCTGACATTGAATCCAAAATACAGGTGAACGTCAAGAAGTTCTGGAATTCCACTAACATTTTGAAAAATAGCAGAGGATTTCCGTCAATAGTAAAATTTAACGATAAGGAAACCACCAAAGGGGAAGATATTTGTAATATTTTCTCCACTTTCTTTCAATCTGTTAATGAACCATATTGTCAGCGACCTCTACACAACCCAGGCATGAACAAAAGCAATCTCACACTTGATAAGTTTACCCTAAACGAAGAAATTTGAAAAATACTCAATGATCTCGATGAAAAAAGAAAGGGAAGTGGCACGGATGGTATTCCAAGAAGGAAGGTCATTTTCCAACTTCATGGAAAACTGCATTTCTCGTTCCAATTTTCTAAAACTCAGGAGATCGAGAACAAGTTACAAATTACCGAGGTATAAGCAAACTCTGCATTATGGATAAAGTTTTTGAGAGTCTGGTGTACGACATAATGTTCAACCGATTGAAAGGTGCAATTAACAATTAAGAACAACCTGTTTTTTTTCGTAAACCGTGCAATTGAGAAAAACTTAGTAACGTACACTCAATATATTTGTAATCTGATGGATGAGCGAGTCCATGTGGATTCTATCTACACCGACTTCTAGACCAGGGTCGATAATTTTTTGAACAAAAAAAAAAAATAGTAGGATGAAACCCGTTGGGAAAGGACAAGAATATAACAAAAATGAAAGAAAAAACAATTTACGGGCGATCTGAGGTCGGGAAGTGGAAGGGGGTGAGTTTTAAGGGCAAAAGACGGTGTATCTCGATTTCCGGCAAAACCACAATTCCTATAGAGAAATATTGAATGACAAAGTTGTAGGTAATAAAGAGACCTACAACTTTTGTGATCACACTTTTCTCACATAACCTCAAAATTTATGTGAAAAATTCAAATAATCAAGTTTTTGGTCTCTTATTTTTCTTATGCAAAAACAATATTTTTCCACGAAATTTGGTGAAAATTTACCTTTTTATGTCCTAAAGACACCGTAATTTTTTTGATTTGAAATATTCATTCTTACACCTTATTTTGACTTAATATCGGAAAAACACCCTAATTTTCAATCGAAAATTCTCACGTCAAAATATCAGCTTTTGAAAAAAACTCGGGGCGTTTTTTGTTCGTTGAAATCTCTTCTTTCTGATAATGTAAAAAATGTATCATTACTAAAGTAAATGTTCTTAGAAATGGGAAGAAAAGAATAAAACTCGAATCCGAATTCTTTTTAATCACTATGTACAATTTTGAGCTATTTAGTGAAACTTACACTTTAATTACTAGAGGAGTAAAATCGGAGATAAAATGTGTCGTTTTTTTTTTTCGAGGTATAACCAAATCGGACCTATTAGGTAATGTTCCTTATGTGATTTCCTATCATAGTCCAGCTAGACGACATTTTTCTGTGGGGACGAACTTTTTTATTCAAAAAAATACGAAAAAAGTTGATTATTCGAAAATCGTGTTTTTCTAAACATATTATTCATTATTTCGAGAACTACTCAAGATATTGATTTGCTTTTTCGTTTGATCGAAAGGAGATAATCTAGCGCTTCTCATCATGCCACTAGAATTATGTAATGAAATCGGATTTTTTTCTGAATAAGTTGAGAATATAAAATAGTGAAAACCGTGAGATGAAATTTTCACTGATCGAAAAACTTTTTTATTATTCGAATTCTTTATATACAATCAGCGAAGAAAATTGAGATAATGAGTCGAAAAAGTTTTTAGATCAAAAAAATTCGATACATATGAAATAGTTTTGACGATATGATTTTTTTAAAACATGCTAGTTCCGCGCCTCCGGTAACTGTTCGCGCTCAGCGCAATACCAGTGCTCACTCCCAATACCCGCTCCATCAGTGCACAATGTTATGTTGAGAAATTATTGTTCTTATGATGGTTTCAATGTCAATGATGCAAGTATAGAGGAAAATAATACTGCATTTCATATTCTTCAAAATGGAAACGAATTCATAAGTTATAAAATATAATCGAGTTTAAACCAAACTATCAAACAAAAAATAATATTCATTTCAGTATTCTTCTTCATTTCCTGATTCTGGCTCAACTGGATCCCTGAATGTATTTTGGCAGTCTCTACATTTACATTCACTAGAACATTTCAACCCTTCTTTCATGCATATACACTTATTATTTGTGCAGTTTTTATCGGCACAATGAATGGCCAGAATTTTTCTCACAGAATTTGGAATAGGTTCCTGCTTAGTAAAAACGGGGTTCCAACAATCGTTTTCGTGTTTCCAACCAAAATTTTCCGGATTTTCAGTAGGGATATATGGTAAAAGGGATGAATACCATATTTTCAATTGATATATACATCTAGAAATAATTGATTGATTCAATGAAATGAAATAATAAGAAATAAAACTTATCACAAACCTTAGTAAGTGTTGCTGGAAAGCATCATCTGTGGGGGGTAGCTCTTTTGAAGGCCGATTGGTATGTATCGTTAAGTGATAACGTAAATCATTCAATGTTTTGATAGTATCATTTTTATTTCTATATAAGAGGAGCATATACTTCAAAGATACGGCCAAAGCTTCCTCATGAGGTAGATAAGGAAGCTTCGATAAGTCAACCAAACTTGCAATATTCTTCCTCAAGATATCAAAGGCCGTTTTTTTTCCTATTTTGTAGATACTATTGGTCGTATCACAACCAGTTAAGGAATGAATTGCTAGTAAGCAGCTACAAATGGAATTCCCCAATTTCCTGGCAATTTCGTTTATTGACACAAACCGTTTGTTTGTACTATGTCCAAGTTGAATTAATATGTTGCGATCTCTCAAATCAGAACTCGTATTGAAATGATGAAGTAGTAGAACCAACACATCGGTGTCTACAGATTTGATCATAATCGTTTCACAAAATTTACATTCCTCCAAAATATGCAACAATAATCGGGTATCGGCCTCATCATGATTGCTAAATAGATGATTCATAGGTTCACACCTACTTTTCGTTATTGAAATAACTTCTTCTGGATTCTGGAAACCCCCCGCAATGATTATAATTTCCTCATCATGCAGATACTTTGCTCCATTTTCTGCTATGTAATTCGTGAGGAATATCAATAGACGTCGTTTGTTTTTAGACGATTTCAAAAATTCCCGGAATTTTGGTACTTTCCTAGCACCACTTATACTGAATTCTATAATTTGTTTATTATCTCCCCGTCGATTACGTTCCTGATCTTTCAAACTTCCAGATTCATAATTATCGAAAACTATAGTCATTCTGTAAGCTTTATGTTTCCTTCCTATTGCCATAATTGTACTCAAAAATAGTTTTCCCATATCGTTGAATGTAATAAACATCGTTTCTTTCAGTTCTTGGACAGAAACCATACCGTCTATTATAACAGAATCCAGATTTTCACATTCAACATGAGATTCCGTGAATGATTCCAATTGTTTGGCTAATTCGGATTTCACTGTTTTTCTCACTGAACCATCCTCATTGAACAAAGATGCTGGTACCGATGTAAGTTCATAAGATAAAATATTGGAAAGATCCATGTCTTGTGAACGCGCAGCACAAATCACTCTACGAAACATGAGTTCTGAACCGATACAAGATCCTTTGGAAGCCATTCTCGCTACAATTTTGGTTTCCTTGAAAGTTGCAATTTTGTCCCTTTTGAGCGGTTTCCAAAAACTGACGTTTTGAAAATTGTTCCACTGAGTTTGTATTTTTTTCATTGATGTATCTAGAAAAGTCGTCAAATTTTTCTCTATTGATTCGTCTACAATTTTTCCAGTGCATATATTGATCAACGATAGCGGGGCACTTCGCAAACAAAATGGATTACACCAGCTTTCTTCTATAGTTGACATTATTTTCTTCACATCAGCTTCATTCCTATTACTCATTATCTGGCCATCTTTTCTTACTTTACTATTGTCACCCATTGTCGCTTCTGGAATTCGATTACAAGAATGAATGAACAATAAAATTGATCATATACGTATACTTACCTACAAATTTCTGTGAAAAATCTCCTAGTGAATGTCTAGTGACTAGCCAGCGAAGAAGGGCCGCTGGTTTTCTCGAAAATCCTATAACCCCCGTAGAACTTTTACAATCACGATTGATTGACTGTTCTAAAGCCATATCAGATGCAACGCAATTGAATATCTTCTCCTTTGTTTTTTTCACAACGAAATTGCCTTTTTCCAAGAAATGATACATATATGGAACTTCAGTCTTGAGCATCTTCATGTCATTCAAATATACAGGAACCCATTTTGAATAAAGGTTACGACCAGCTGCTGTTAAATATGGCAGCGAATCGAAAACAGAACATAGATGAGAATCAAAGTCTCCATCTCTTTCAGCCCGCAACATTTTCCAAAGGAGATCTACTGCTTCGATAAAAGAATACCAATACTTAAATGTTGCAGAAGAGAAACCAATGGCAAGAAAATTCGTCAGAGCCGTTTCGAATTCTTCTATATCCTTCAACATTATCTTGAAATTGGTTTCATTGAAAATAAATTCTTTCAACTCTTGATTTACTGTTTTCATTATCTGCTCCAAATCCTTGGTCAGAATAGTACCATCATTGGATTCTTCATACCAACTCAAAAAAGAGTTGAATAATAACCTCGATAAAGCATCTGTGGCAAGGGTAAGTCCTCGAATAGACCTGGCATATTGCTTGCCATCCAACATCAATTTACAGGAATTTTCTGCATAAATTCCAGTTTCAACTAACATTGAACTGAGACCGCCGTCACCAAAAATGTATCCAATACTAGCAATAAGAGCCATGGTAAGATGCATACCGCCCAATTGTAATGTAACTTTCCCATCCAACAAAGTAGGTTTATTCCACATTATTTCTCTAGCTTTGGAGTATATTGCTAAATCTGCTGTGATAACTATATGTTTTTGATTCAGAGCCTCTGCTAATTGTACCAACTGAATCATTGCTGTATAAATAGTATCATATTCTGTTGGTGGAGCATTTAAAAATGGTAAATATGCAATATTTGAAACTGTTATCTTATTTTTGGATATCACATTATTGTAATCTGTCCAGCTCAGGAATGGAGATTCTTGATTTATATATCGCAAAACTCTCCATACCAAATTGGTTTTCTTTGAAAAATCATAATTTTCGCGATTTACTTCAACTGACGGTACAAATTTGACTGGCTCGGGTCGAATTGGAGGTTTTCTGTATCTAGTCAAACTTTGAGTAACTGATTCAACATCTTCAGTACTCAATGAGTACCCTTTACTTTTGTGAATCTCGGTGTGAGATGATAGAGAATCACCAGGCTGCTGAAATACTACCATTGCCATAGAATGGGTTGTACCTTTACCGTCAATTGTCTCTTCATTCAAATCGAAGTTATCTATACTGGCATGAATATAATTGCCCTTAGATTCGATAACTTCAACAATTCCTGAAGGTATAAAAACTGATTTTTCTTCACTCATGGCGTCTTTTGCTAAAGTTGTAGATATCTGCCTGATATTATTGTACGAACAGGTTAATCCAATTTTTGATAATGTATCAAGAAGTTGCTTACTGCGTACTGTATGATAAATATGTAGTCCTAGTCCAGTGTGAAAGTGATTCATTTTGAAATTTGCATTATAAAGTCCCATAATGATATTACCGATAATATTTGCTTCAGGAGTTGGTTCATTATTAGCACTCAAATAAGATGATTCATCAAGTATCCACGACATGAAAGTTAATAATAGTTTTGGGACTTGATTTGCGAACATAGAACTGTTCATATCAGTAGGCCTTGGAAATGTGTTTGGTATCGGAAATTCTGCCATGTGTTTTTTTATTATTCCTGCAGCTTTATGAAGAATTTGCATTTCGGATTCTACGTTTGATTCGTTGAAAAATTCGGATTCTTCTTCGGAGCTACTGGATCCTGACGACCTAAATTGTTCTGCGAAATTTTCTTTACTATTTTCTTGACTGTCATGGTGATATAATTGATGATTTTCTTTTTCTTTCGACTGATTTAAAAATGATTTAATATTCCTTGGGGAAATATATTGACTGTAACAAGACTTGTGATACTTTGCATCATGAGCAAATAAATCTTCATAACCAGAAATTTTCCCAATCATATTTATATCGTTCCGTTTCTTTGCTGAATCAACTATTTTATCAAAAGTTTTCTTTCCAGTTCCTATAATTCAATAACATTAATTAAAATTTGTATTCATCCTAATTCGTAATTTTGGCTTTGAATATTTCTACACATTATAATTTAAAAATAAAAAATGTCCTATTTATATCAAATCGTCACGAAATCATTTCCCGCATGATTGACATTCAGATCAGTTCATAATAATTGATATTCTACTCATAGTATGCTTTTTTTGATGACAAATGAATAATGAGATTTCTAAAGTTCGTTCATTTCAAATGAAAATTATTTCGAGATTGTTAAAAAAATATAATATTATTGAATAATGATATATTATTATCCTTATTCTTTAACTCTTCAATGATATTGAAATCTCAATGAAATATTTTCGAATAATTCGAAAACATTTTCACATACCTGTTTGAACAGATACTAATTTCTGATGTTTCCTTTTTCCGCCCCTATCACAAATGATACACATTCTTCCAATATCAAAAATGACATTTGCATTTCGAGTTGATGGTCCCGCTTCTATATTTTTCTGACAACCAGTGAAATTCGGCAATATTTGAATATTGTGCATGCTGGTGTAACTTTTTCTGCATTCATTATGGTAAATAATTTTTTCTTTCCCAGACAGAATCAGCTCTCTTCGCATAAGAATGCGGGATCCACAAATATCATTCCTTCTTTCCGCTGCTGATAATAACGAGAGCAGGCCTTGTATCCGTGGATTTTTCGTAATATTTTTATCATTATATGATACACTCTTTTCGCAAATGACACACTGCATCTTCAACAGATTGTTGCATACTGCCCTACAACCTATAACTACGCTCTATAGTGCGCCAACACGATCTTGTCGCGACAGGCATATTCATGCCACGCGTACCTACATCTTTGAAAAATCATATTTCGAAAACTATACTACATATACAGATTCCTGTTAGTTCAAAAACTTCCATGACTATTTGTCAACATTTCATTCGCTGCATATATACAAATAAAATCAACAAGAAAAAAGTTTGTCGATTGTTGAAAAAAATATAACATGAAAAGTGATATCTGGCGTTCTCAATCAATTTACAAAAAACTGAAGATAATTTATACTGTAATCATACCATTGTGAGAAGCAGAAAATAATACGTTTTCTATTAAAAAAAAAATGATCTCCATACCTATTGTAGTTTTAGAGTTACGAGGAGATATATTTCAAAATCCGTGTTTTAGAAAATTCTTTTTTTTTTCAGTTTTTTCTAAATAAAAAAGTTCGTCCCCACTCAAAAATGTCGTCCAATGATATTCTGGTAGAAAAATATGTACTTGATTATATTTTGAAGGTCGGAACTGGTTATACCTTGAAAAAATTTTTTTCGAGAACGGAACGACTTTTTCGGTGGATTTTACTCCACTATACATAAAGATTGCAAGGAACATGCGAAAATAGTTGTTCTAAATATTAAAGATAGGATTTAAAGGAAGTTAGTGGGTCAGACAAAATTGTGGATGAAGGACCATTCTAAAGATGATATTGGATACGAAGACGGTGATGGTCTTGAAGATTTCAAAAATCTACTAGAATCGGGAAGGTTTGTCGAATCTACCGATGGAGAAATGCCACCGAAGAGGCAAATAATGAATAAAAGTGATTAGGGTTCAAGATAAGAATTATAAATAAGAAGATATATGCATTTAAAAATATTATGAATAATAATAATCAGTATAAAGTATCTGAATTCGATAGTACGATTTACATTTCTATTCATATATTATGAGATTTTCTATGACATAAATGTAATTAGAATTTAATAAATCAACTTTTTGACTAAAAAAATTGCAGCAAACACATTTTTTTATTGTAATCCCCCCTTGAATCTTATCCTCAATTTGTTAAAACAATTATTTTCGCATATTTCTTGCAATCTTTAAGATCCGTGGATTTGTAATTTTTTTGTTTTTCGATGTACCTAACATGGAATTTTACGTTTTTCAAGTAATTAAAGTGAACATTCCACAAAATAACTCAAAATTGTACATAGTGATTGAAACAAGATTCGGATTCGAGTTTCCTTCTTTTCTTTGCATTTTCTGAGAACATTTACCATGGTAATGTATATATTTTCTTACATTATCAGAAAGAAAGATTTCAACGAAAAAAAAAAACGCCCCGAGTTTTTTTTAAAAAGCTGATATTTTGACGCGAGAACTCGATTGAAAATTAGGGTGTTTTTTCGATAGTGAGTCAATATAATAAGGTGAAAAAATTAATAGGTTTTCAAATAAAAAAAATCACAGTGTCTTAAGGACATGAGAAGGTGAGTTTTGACCAAATTTCGTGAAGACATTTTTTTTTGCATAAGAAAAATAAAAAACCAAATACTTGATTATTTGAATTTTTCACATAAATTTTGAGGTTATGTGAAAAAAGTGTGATTACAAAAGTTGTAGGTCTCTTTATATTACCTACAACTTTGCTATTCAACTTTTCTCCAGTTCTGCTGGAAATCAAGATAAACCATTTTTTACCCTTGAAAACTCACCCCCTACCACTTCTCGACCTCAGATCGCCCGTAATTTATTATCCCTTTCATCTTTATTATATATTCTCTTTCTTTCTCAATGAGTTTCATCCTACCATGATTTTTCTTCACATTTTACCGTTTTTAAATTCTTCAGCACTGGTCTATTCAGTAAAGCATTAGATGAAATCGATCATAACATATTGTTGCTGAAACTTTCTGAAGTTGGTGTGCATGGCGATCTTCTACGATGGTTTTCATGGTTCCAGGCTAAAGCCTTCACAGTGACCTCAGGAGTACCAAAAGTCTCACATTTAGGTCCTCTGCTATTTTTGATCTTCATTAATGACGTGAAAAAGTGCTTCGTTAACTCTGAATTCTTACTTTACGCAGACGATCTTGAAATATTTTTTAAAGTCAAGTCATTGAGGACTGTGGAAAACTAAATTCTGATCTTTCGAGGTTCTCACAATATTGCGAAAAGAATAGATTATTCTTGAACACAAATAAATGTGTCATTATTTCATTCACAAAAAACTTCAAGAATTCTGAATTCAGTAATAATATGTCTGGCACTGTTTTGAAAAGAGTGGAGGAAATCAAAGATCTAGGGTTGATTCTAGATTCCAAGATGAATTTCAACAAGCATTACGATTATATAATAAGAAAATGTAGTAAAATGTGGGGCTTCCTCACTCGAATTTGTAAACTCTATACTTTGCATTTGTTTACAGCAAATTGAGTTTCAAGAGTGTGATTTGTAATCCAGAAGATAACATATACAAAATAAGGATTTAAAAAGTACAAAATAGATTCGTAAGATTTCTGAATTTCAAAATAAATGGAACTTACAACATACAAAATATTCATCTAGTTTGGCAGTCGTTTGGTATTTTGGAACTTGAAAAACGAAGAATTATCACTGACTTAGTCATCACGTTCAAGGTTCTAATGAATCATGACTGTCCAACATTATTATCATTTTTCTCTATTAATGTTCCTCCTAGGAATACTCGTAATAATTTCTTTCTCAATATAGATTATCGAAATACAAATTCAGGCCGCAACTCTCCAATTTGTAGATTGAGCAGTAGTTTTAACAAATATTGTAGTGTTGATATTTACTGTTTAACTTTATTCACCTTCAAACAAGAAGTTACAAAAATATTTCTCACATAAAATTCCAAGATTGTTCAACATTTTAAATTTCACTTCAACTATTATACTTTTACTCATTACACTATAAGGTTTCAAGGAGCTGTCATGCAAAATACTGTATCAGCGGATAATTTTTTGGGTTTTGAACCTGTTTGTATCCCAAAGTTGTAAATAAATAAATAAATAAATGAATAAATAGGACTGCCGTCGAAAGCATTCCAATGGCCAAAGTGGAAACTGCAGTTTTATCCACTCGACAGAGACTCAATTCATGTAAAATGGAAAATGATGGAAGACAAATTGTGCATCTAGGAAGACACTAGTGCCATACTAATCATTTCAGTACCTATATTTAATTAATATATCGGAATATTATTTCGATTTCTCCGGTTCCTTAAGATGTATCAACTTGCAGTTTCCACGGTTTTTCTTCTCGTTCACTCTACTTTCATTATAAAAGCGAGGAAAATATATGGTTCCATTCAAAATTTTCTAGAATAAGTGGAAAACCGTCTGATGAGACCAAGTTCGTTGAATTCAGTTACACCAACCTGTAGTACTAAGAGTTTTTCCATAACGGTATTAATCCTGTCCTTCATTTTTTTTTGTATCGCTTGAAGCGCACGAAAGGGAACCCCTATAATGTTCGAAGAACATCGTGCGTTCCTAGGGATGATAAGGACAGGAGGTAGGTATTGGAATTTCTTTGAACTTTTGGAGATTATATGTTGTTGGAAATATTTCCACAGGCAATGAATTCCAGAGCCTAGCAATTTCTTTATACCGCAATGATTGGAAATCAATTCGAGATGTTGAAAGGGTTTTTGACACATCTGGATATACCAAATTCTCCCAAAATACCGTTTTTTTAGATTGGAAGATGCAATCACGCTCTAGCGGTCGTTCTGAAAACTTGAAAATAATTTCCACAGATTTCTCCTAGCCACTTATCTCATTATAAATATTTTTTCCGAAACATGTGCGGCAAATGCTTTCCGAGATACAGCCGGCATCCTTAGTGGTACACCCGGTACAATTCATGTCCATGAATTTCCGGAATTTTTTTGGATATCTACTGCTACACCAGATGGGTCTATCGTGACTCCCCCTAGAGGTTACAGTTCAATGTATAAACCACATCTTTTCACAACTTTCATGGTTGAATTAGGTAGGATTTGTATAAAATCGATGGGTTCTAAATAGGTAAAGCCAAATATGTGCTCACCCATCGAGGTTATCAGTTCACTGTACATTACCTTTCCGAATAACTTGTATAATTTTACTTGTCTTTCTCACAATTTCATTTACTTTCATGAAAGTATATCTTACAATGTCTCATATGATTTCTGTTTCTCCCTGTACTCTGTACAAATGCCAATGCATGACGTTCTTACGGCACGTTGTTACGATAAAAACAATACCAATCATGCCTGAAATGACATTCTAAAAATGTCCACCAGCTCCCTATCTATACTCAAAATTTCGTCGATGATATAACGAATGAATTCTACTGTTATCAAAGGGAAATCATAATAATTGCAATCGTCATATCCCCACTATGGAACGCGAGCTTACATTATGTATTCGTACATTATCATTGTGTAGGTATTTATTTACCTATCCTATTTGTTGGCGACTCGCCGCCTGATTGAAAAATGACGGGATCGAAAGTGATCGATATCCACCGGATATTACAGAAATCGATAAAAGATGAGTTCGAAATCGTCTACCAGGAAACAAAATCACTGACTACACCCGGTGAACACTACGGCTCCATAATGCTTGCAGTGGACGTTAAAATAAAATTTTCCAAAGACGGAAGTGAAAAAGTGCTGAACTTGGTGGCAAAACTTCAACCAGCCAATGAGATGTTGAGAGCGGCCTTCGATGTTCAAACGACCTTCAAAAAGGAAGTGTTATGCTACACCGTTATGATACCTGCACTTATAGCTTTCCAAAAGGAGTTCAAAGTTCCAGAAGAGAGAAGTATCTCGAATCTGTTCCCGAAGTGTTATGGCGCCAGATTCAGCTTGGACGAAAACAGCAATCAGGTGGACGATGGGGCTGTTATCATTTTTGAAAATTTGAAGCAGCAAGGATATTACACGGGTGACAGGTTGGTGGGGTTAGATTTTGAAGCTGCACAGGTGATTTTGAAGGACTTGGCCACGATTCACGCTACGTCCATAGCACTGAAAAAACTCAGACCCGAGGTCTTTGAGGAAAAATTGATGGCTTGCACAATGACTGGAAGTGGGGTCAACGCATTCCCTGAGCAATTCGCTAGTGCGCTTAAAGATAGTTTGAGTGATGGTTCAAAAGAAATTCCCGTTCTAGAACCATACTTGGAGAAAATTCAGAAAGTTATCGACTCATTTGGGATTCCGAAACCTATACCCAATGAAACGTGGGGCACTATATGCCATGCTGATTTCTGGATGAGTAATACGATGCTCTTGAATTCCCCGAGTGGCAAGCCTACGAGCAGCAAAATTGTTGACCTTCAGCTAGCTTCCTACGCTTCAGCTCTTACAGACTTGGTATTCTTTTTATTCACAAGTGTAATAAATTCTGTTCTCGAAAAGTCTTACGAGGATCTACTGAAGGTTTATCATGATTGTTTCACTGAAACTTTGAGAGACTATGGTATCGATATGAGCCCATATTCGTGGAAGTCATTCGAGAAAGAATTAGAAGTAGCAGGGCCTGTTGAAGTATGTCACATACTGATGATGTTGAAGCCCATTTGTACTGAAAGAAATACAATTAAAAATTCCTTCGAAGATTTTGAGGATTCTGATTGGTACAGAAAAGATTTGCTGGGACCAAATCATCGTAGAAAGTTGAAAGATACAGTTCTAGCACTGATACGGAGAAATTGGTTTTGACAATTTTGGTTCTCATGGCTATTTGTTTGTAAAACAACGAATAATCGTTGTTATAATTTTAAATCACCTACAAATTTATTGGATAGGTAAAGAATCCTAATGTCTTGTCAATAAAACAATGGATAGTGTTATATTCGTCCAATTTTTATTTATAGGTGACAAATCTCAATTCAGAATTTTCTTCTATTCAATTCTCACACCTACTTGATCTTATCGATTTCAAGGTTGTATTGAATCTGTAATCTAGGTATTTTATCAATCATTTCTTAAGCAGACAATATATAGTTGATAAATAGTCATTGAAGAGAAAACTTTTTTTTCGACCTATTAAAAATATGCACATAAACTGAATACACCAAGAGGGAAGTGGCTAAGTATAAAATGTAATATAATAAGAAGTTTCCACCTCAAACGTAGTATGGAATCTGTGTAGGAAGTTTTTCGGCCTTATTCTGACTCTCTATATACAGCGTTTGAGATGAGATCAAACAGCATCGTGCGATTTCCACCGGACCGGTATGAAAAACCATCAATATAACCAGTTTTTCAGAGACGAGCATCATTTCAGACAGTGCCATGCGTTTTTATTGAAATGAAAAGTAGTGATCAGTTTTTTATGAGATCATATTAGAATTTTCTTTACCCTTATATATCTTACCCTTATATCTTGATCTTCATAGGATTTCTATGGACGGTTCCAAACAAACAGGCACATGTAAACAGCATTTTTATGAACGTAATACGTATTTACTCGGCAACGGTGAGTTCAACATAAAAAAGTACATCCTTGTTTTTTCGTTCGAATCATGATTTTTTACCTATTGGTGCTATTGAAACTTCGTGGAGCTGTTAGTTTGAATACCCTATTTTTTCGAGGCTGAAAATGGAAAAAAAAATGGAGCGAGTTGATTTTCTGCATATGAAGGTTCGAAAGCATGAGGAACAATAATATAAACAAAAAAATCCTAATATGATTTCATACAAATCAACCCCTCTTTATTATAATATTCTAAAACTTCCCGGCATATATCAACGATTCAATATATTTGCCTACCTTTTGCAAGCAAAATCGGGAATATATCCTTCCAGAGGTCCCCTCCTTACGTTTAAAGGTTACATAAAATTGAAATTTAATTTTGAAATTAATTCTTTTTCAACAAACGAATTGCTCAAAATGAGTGTTACAGTGTTTTTTGCGACAACTGCTATCTGCTAGTGTATTCCTGTTTTAATAGAGCCGCAAAAAAGATATTTTGTTGCCGCATTTACAGTTCGAAACAAAGTGTTATTGCAAACTGGTGATATAGTAGATCACTGTCACTAAAAGTCGAAATTTTGATGAAAATACGTTGAAAATATATTGAATTTAGAAATTATATTCTGATTTTTTGCGATACCCAAACGTACTGCAAACTGAGATATGATCAGTACGCTGCGGATTCCTCTTCCAACCAGCTTTCTGAAGAGGGATCGCAAGCCATAGGTTTGCATTTGAAAAAAAAACATGTTGGGGTTGATTCCAGCTACCCCCGTAGGGTTATATTCTCCATATTGCTCGCCGAATGAAAGTAAATACATCAAAACGAATTTTCATAAAAATCATTCACTGCAACTGCCCCAGTAGCGAATTTATTCCAATTGAAGTCTCCACCCTGTATATCATATTGATGCTTATCTATACCGGTCCAAATTTGGTATGAATCGCACGACTAATAGTTGAGATATAGGGGGGGGGGGCGATTGAGTAGGACACGCTGTATCTATACCGGGTGTTCGTTTGAACACCAGCAATATTTGTTGAGTAGATGGTTCTCGGGAAATCGTCGACACCGGTAAACAGTAACTATGAAGGAGACATGTTTTTACGTAAAAATCACCTTGCTCATAAAAAATTTCAAATGTTACTGTAGGTTTTGTGGCACCTCATTGGAAATACTTTTCAATTCTCTAAACGCCCGTGCATGTTTTCATTTTTGAAATCGATCGATGAGTTTGCAAAATATAGAAGGAAACGTTTGAAATATGTTCCCTGGAAAGTTGTTCAGAAAATGGCCGAGACACGTGACCAGTGATCGTTAAGTGTATTTTATTACGTGATAGATATTTTTCTATCTAGAGCGCGAAATGCTACTTGTGTGTATAATCTCTGCTCTTGGTGATCGAGACCAGATTTTTTTAACGAGGCATAGCCGAGTTAAAAAAATAGTCGAGATGACCAAAGTATATCGCGCTCGAGTTGCAAACAAATTTTGTTCTACAAACGTAAAAAAATATAGTTCTAAAGTGAAAATATGCTTAGCTTGATATAAAAAATTGTGTTGAACTGGCTTAAAAAGCCTCTCCCTATCCTCCCTAGGTACGCACGATGTTCCACGAACATAATAGGAATTTCCTTTCGTGCGCTCCAAGAGATGAAACAAAGTTACTGTTGAACATTCAGAAATAAATGATTTCGTGGATGTTTGCTCGATTGAGGACCATGAAGTTGGAATATAAATATCTCATATATTTTACATAACAATGCGCGATAGGTATAGGTATACCTATAGTGACTTAATTTCGTTTACATCCTGTATAGGTACTGGTGCCCAATGCATGACGTCCTGACGGCACGTTGTAACAATAATAATACTAATCATTCCTGAAATAATATTCTAAGAATATCCATAGCTCATTATCTACTAAAAATTTCGTCGATTACATTATACTAATGAATTCCAATCTTATTAAAGGTAAATCATAATTACAATTGTCATATCCCCACTATGAAACTTACATTATTTATTCGTGCACATCATTGTGTAGGTAATTATTTCCCTATCCTATTTGTTGGCGACTCGCCGCCTGATTAAAAAATGACGGGATCGAAAGTGATCGATATCCACCGGATATTAAAAAAATCGATAAAAGATGAGTTCGAAATCGTCTACCAAGAAACAAAATCACTGACTACACCCGGTGAGCACTACGGCTCTATAATGCTTGCAGTGGACGTTAAAATAAAATTTTCTAAAGACGGAAGTGAAAAAGTGCTGAATTTGGTGGCAAAACTTCAACCAGCCAATGAGATGTTGAGAGCGGCCTTCGATGTCCAAACGACCTTCAAAAAGGAAGTGTTATGCTACACCGTTATGATACCTGCACTTATAGCTTTCCAAAAGGAGTTCAAAGTTCCAGAAAAGAAAAGTATCGCGAATCTGTTTCCGAAGTGTTATGGCGCCAGATTCAGCTTAGACGAAAACAGCAACCAGGTGGACGATGGGGCTGTTATCATTTTAGAAAATTTGAAGCAGAAGGGATATTACACGGGTGACAGGTTGGTGGGGTTAGATTTTGAGGCTGCACAGGTGATTTTGAAGGACTTGGCCAGGTTTCACGCTACGTCTATAGCACTTAAAAAACTTCGACCAGAGGTGTTTGAGGAAAAATTGATGGCTTGCACCATGCCTGGGAGTGGGGCCAATGCATTACCAGAGCAATTCGCCAGTGCGCATAAAGATGGATTGAGAGATAGTTCAAAAGAAATTCCCGTTTTAAAACCGTACTTGGAGAAAATTCAGAAAGTTTGTGACAGATTTAGTGGACTCTCAAAACCTGAACCTAATGAAACATGGGGCACTATATGCCATGCTGATTTCTGGATGAGTAATACTATGCTCTTGAACTCCGCGAGTGGTAAGCCTATAAGCAGCAAAATTGTTGACCTTCAGTTTGCTATTTACGCTTCAGCTCTTACAGACTTGGTATTCTTCTTATTCACGAGTGTTATAAATTCTGTTCTCGAAAAGTCTTATGAGACTTTTCTAAAGGTTTATTACGATAGTTTCATCGACACTTTGAAAGACTATAGTATCGATATGAGCCCATATTCGTGGAAGTCGTTCGAGAATGAATTAGAAGTAGCTGGACCTGTTGAAGTATGTCACATACTGATGCTGTTGAAGCCTATTTGTACTGAGAGAAATATAATTAAGAATTCGTTCGAAGATTTTGAGGATTCTGATTGGTACAGAAAGGATTTGTTGGGACCAAATCATCGTAGGAAGTTGAAAGATACAGTTCTAGCATTGATAAAGAAGAACTGGTTATGATAATGTTGGTTTTTATGTTTGTATTGATGTCAATATAACAAACGAATCGTATTAAAATTGGTTTTATCCACGGCTGCGTTGTATGAAATTATGAATATTATACATGTACTTCCTCAAGCAAAACGGTAGCCATTTTTCACACCAGTGAATAATAGCAGTGAATAACCATAATTCACTGGTTTAGAGTTCCTAGGTTACGCGATATAACATATAATAAACTTTAGACCAGTGAATAATGGTTATTCACCGCTATTATTAACTGGTGTAAAAAATTACTATTGTTTTGCTTGGGGAAGTACAACAGTCGTGGACAAAGAATTATATGACAGGTATCTTCAATTTTTAGTTTTCTTGCCTATTTGTACTGAGAGAAATATAATTAAGAATTCCTTCGAAGATTTTGAGGATTCTGATTGGTACAGAAAGGATTTGTTGGGACCAAATCATCGTAGGAAGTTGAAAGATACAGTTCTAGCATTGATAAAGAAGAACTGGTTATGATAATGTTGGTTTTTATGTTTGTATTGATGTCAATATAACAAACGAATCGTATTAAAATTGGTTTTATCCACGGCTGCGTTGTATGAAATTATGAATATTATACATGTACTTCCTCAAGCAAAACGGTAGCCATTTTTCACACCAGTGAATAATAGCAGTGAATAACCATAATTCACTGGTTTAGAGTTCCTAGGTTACGCGATATAACATATAATAAACTTTAGACCAGTGAATAATGGTTATTCACCGCTATTATTAACTGGTGTAAAAAATTACTATTGTTTTGCTTGGGGAAGTACAACAGTCGTGGACAAAGAATTATATGACAGGTATCTTCAATTTTTAGTTTTCTTGTCGAATGAGTTATGATAAAACAGTTGTAAAAAATAAATTTATTTATCATAGACAATAGTAGTCGTGGACAAAGTATAGTAATCTTCTCGCATAAAATGAACTATCATTCACTCAGGTAAATTATGCCACTCGCTACGCTCGTGACATATAAAGTTGACCTTCGTGAATAATAGCCCTCCTTATATGCTTGTTGAATAATATACTATTATTCACGACTGTTGTTTAACATTCATAATATACATGTACTTCCTCAAGCAAAACGGTAGCCATTTTTCACACCAGTGAATAACCATAATTCACTGGTCTAGAGTTTCTAGGATACGCGATACAACATATAAGGAACTTTAGACCAGTGAATAATGGTTATTCACCGCTATTATTCACTGGTGTGAAAAATTACTATCGTTTTGCTTGAGGAAGTACAACATCAGTCGTGGACAAATAATTGATATAACAGAGGTATCTTCAATTTTTAGTTTTCTCAATGTCAAATGAGTTATGATAAACCAGTTGTTGAAAATGAAATTATATATCAAAGACAATAGTAGTCGTGGACAAGGTTTAGTATGTACATTATTCTACTCGCATATATAATGAGCTATTATTCACTCAGGTTAACCTTCGTGAATAATAGCCCTCATTATAATCTTGTTGAATGATATACTATTATTGGATAGGTAACGAATTTTAATGTCTTGCCAATAAAACAATGAATAGTTTCATTTTCATTTGGTTTTTTATTGGATAGGTAACGAATGTCGACATCTGATGAATAATTTCTGTCTATTCAATTCTCATCACCTATTTTGATCATATCAGTTTCAAAGTTGTACCTGTAATTCTCAAGTAGGTATTTTATCATTCATTTCCTAAGCAAAAATAGTTTATAATAGATAATTTGTCAATAAAAGACCATAATCATTTTTTTTTCGATCAATAAAAAACATACACATAGATTACACACATTGAGAGATGAGTGGTTATAGTTATAGATAATAATATACAAGTTGTATTTCGACAAACACATAGGTACCTAATAACCTAATGAATTAAGGTGAATATTAGATTATCTGAATCTAAACACTCTTATCATTCATTATTATGTACTGGTCCAGCCATTTTTCGATTACTGGAAGATTATCGTTGCTCCATTTTGTTTCTTCTTTGATATTTCTCAAAGCCTTTTCGATTACAAAATCTGCAGTCCCGAATTCTGTCTGCCTTTCCACATAAAGTTCGGATACCAAATCCAAACCCTCTTGAGTTTTGAAGACTGTGGTAGCCGAGGTTATGAGACTGTTCCATAAGTGTGGTTTCTCTTCAAATCTGAAAATACAAGATATATAGAGATAAATGTATTCTATTGGTATTGAAAGTGGCACATTTTTGGAAAGAGTGTTTCAGCAAGTTTAACTTGCCTAAATATGCCTGAATTCATATAACAATCGATAGAAACATTTGAAATGGGCTTATGTCACAAAACATTTTTATTCCATAATTCGATAGAACTCACCCAAACTAGCTCACCACCGCAAACCGTTTCTTGCTGTGAGCTCCCTACGTTTTATAAAAAATTATTGAAATCCCCGATTTTTCGGACCTCTGAAAACGAGGCGATGATGTGACGTCAAAACCCTAATAATGAAACAAGACTATTCCAGACAGAGATGAATGATACATGATTTCTGACAGAGTGAATTAGGGCGAGATCACAGTTGAAAGAATTATAATATATCAGTTGCCTCAGTCTCCGTCGGGCGTTTGGTATTTTCTTTTAACTATGGCGAGATGAGGTTTCTACGTCATAAGATGAAGGTCCGTTTTCAGATGGTACTATTATTCATGCCCAAAAATAAAATAATCCCAGTTAATTTTTCGATCGAATTATGTCGTCAATCATTATTTATGTATAAAAGGATCATTATAAACATGGTTTGAGTTGAAAGTTCTACTAAGCTGTACACGCCCATTGTATACAGTGCCCGTCTTAACTCCGTCCCCCCCCGTTCATTTTTGAACCACTTGGTATATCGCAACTAAATTTGGAGGGTTCCAATAGAAGATGAAAACCAACTTTTTCATGAAGAAATCAAAGCTTAAAGTTCAAAAATGGCGGCTGAGCGCGATGTTCCATACTATATTCATGCGTTTTTCTCGAAAACGGATGAATATAATAATATCATGTCCGAACAAGAGATAGAGTACTAATATTACGTGAAAAAGATGTTTATATATTTCATATTTTTCAATCGGAATCACTAAAAACAACAACAAGAGTACTAATATTACGTGAAAAAGATGTTTATTTCATATTTTTCAATCGAAATCACTAAAATATTTCGTCAAAAAAAGTTACCAGTCGATTTCATCATCAAGAATCATTCACGTGGCGCCCCCTGTAACACGATGTGAAATGATAAAATATCATTCCCTGTATAAAATCATGACCCTGTGCCGATTTTGATAACAATTGATGAATATATAGTGAAATTATTAGCAAAAAACGCAAAAAAAAATCAAATTTACCGCCCTAGCTGTATCTTTTTCCACAGCAATTTTATCAAGGCATATTTGGTCCTATCGCCATATTTTGGTCCACATAATCCGCCCTTAGCCTATGTCCCAATAGTTATGACTCACCCTGTATACACTGTTAATGACAATAATAACACCGTCTCCGAGAAAGAACTACGCGTCTTTTTATCTTCCATCCGACTTCGCGGTTATGTAAATTATTAAACAACCACTAAATTCGCAACTAATGAAAATCTAAACACAGAATTAGACTGATAGATATTTGATCACTTCAAAAGAATGATGAAGATGCCTGCAAAAAGATGCCTGCAACGCATCAGGTTACCTGTTAACTTCAAATTTCACGTCGATAATTTTCTGATGATTTTATTATAATGTAATATCTTTTCAATATTGATTCGTTCTTTTTCCTGTCACAGAGAAAAATATAAGATATTAGCACAAGGTTTTTGTGAAAACACAACCTGGAGCTAAAATCTACAACTTTTTTCCTTCGTATAATGAATAACTATTCATGCTGCCTAGTTTTTTAGAGAAATTTACCAGAAACAAAATGAAGGTTATTCAACTTTGCAGGTCAGTGATATCGAACTTAACAGTTTTTTAATTCAATTTGTGCTTTATAATCAAATCAGTTGGTAACAAATGAAACGTAATTGAATTCTATTTTGCATTCCGGCGAATGAAGCAAATTAGATACCCGTCCTTCCTTATTAGTTCTTCCTTATTCAATTGAATAATGCCTCTTGAATGAATTCGTGTCAATGAGTAGGTAGTTAAAACCTATACATCAGTGTGCTTCAATTAGTCCATCCCTGTGCTTCCGCATCTTTTCGATGATTCACAATTTTTGTTTCAACTATAGTTCAGTCAATAATCGGCTTTTAGAGGACATGAAAGAGAACAGCATTTTTGACTTCAGGGATTTGCTTGGAATAATGAGGAAGTGAAAATTCCAAAAGCCCCTGGACTTCTGAGGTGAAAGGTGAACCAAGTGCAGAAGGCGACTTAGGAGGTCCTTTCTTGATTTATCGTTCATATCTCAAAAACTGTACGTCACAGCAAAAAAGTCAATTTCTTCAAAATTGTAGCTGATAGCTTGTAGAGATATTCGCTAGCGAATCATGTACCTTTTTGGAAATTTCTTTTTTATCTAGCGTATTTGGACTCAACATTCGGTTTTTCATCAGTCTTCGACGAAGTATGTCACATTTGTATTTTTCAAACATATACATACAGTGGTGTCTCATTTCAACCCTCCCCCCCCTCAATATCTCAGCTATTAGCCGTGCGATTCTTACCAAATTTGGACTCATATGGATAATAATCAATCAGAGACAAACATCATCATCGACAGTGCCCTGCGTTTTTATTTAAATAAAAAGTGTCGATATTTTCATGGACGATGCTCTTCTGAAATATCAACAATTGTTCCTCCCTTGGCAGTCTCCGCGAGATTAACCCGTCGAATTGAGGCTTCACTACTCTTCGTGGTCACTTTGAAGACCTGCAGAATCTCTTTCCAAAGACTCGTTCATCCAACGAACAGCGAGACTCTGGTACACATTGCCAAGGGAGCTGCTCCCCGAGGCATATAACCTCCAGAAATTTAAGAAGAACACCAATTCCTACCTTATTTCCCTTGGTTCTCACGATGTTCTCTGAACATTACAGGATATTCTTTTTCGTGCGAAGCAGAACATGAAGAATTTTTTGTTCAACCGGAACCCCCATCTCATTACTCAATTGATTGAAAGATGAAGAAAACTTCTACAAGATGACATAACATGTATCAATAATAAAATCACTAAGTTTTCTCAATAAAGCCGCTAGTTGTGAAAAATATAAGTTGATTTCAGGTAGCTATATGGAAATATCAAACTCATGACAGTTTTCCATGAACGTCCACCACATATACGTGTATCGTAATATCTGGGTTTTTTTCCTATTAGTTGACATAATTGGTTGGTGCTGCACATTTGCGCTAGGATAATCCTAGTAAACACACTTACAACGAGATAACGTAGTAAAATTACTACAAGGTCGGTTGAAATATCGCGAAAATGTCGCCAACATACACGTTGTTTTCAACCAGTAAACGTGTTTCCAACTCCTTATTTGATATGTGAGTTTCAAACGTTGGAATGAACAAATATATTACATTTATTGCTCATTTACTACGGAACATTGCGGTGCCGCTACGTTCATCTTGAATTAATGCCTATATTTTTTATTCTGTTATGTACACTCGTTTTCAGTGAACATGTCGCGATTGGACGATATGAGCGCTCTTATTGCAGCGGTGATTAAGAGAGCTGACAACGTCCATGTGCGACATCTTCTCTGAAGACGACTGAAGACTGAACCTAACTAGTAACTATATAATTATTGGTCCAAGGTTCTGACAGTTAGGTAATGAATAAGATGTTTTATCCGAATCATACTCTTTTTGTTGATTCCACAGAATGTGATATACATTCCACAAAGAAAATGAGCTAAATAAATATCTCTTTTTCACTTGTTACCCTGAGGTAGGAACCTACCTAATTAATTTTTCTAGAGGACCTTGGAGGAAACATATCAGCTGGAAATATGGCATTGGCTATACCTTCGTTTTTGAAATAATAATGAAGCATGATACTGCTATCTGAGGTTTATTAGTTCGGAATGCGGAATAATTATTATATATATGCCATAGGTTCAGAGAAAATATTGAATTCTGTTCGTGAATTTTCGGACTGTTTCAAAAACTATTTTGGTAATAGTCAAATATTACATCTTGATGATGATACCGGAAAATCATCGATGTTAATAATAGTATATATATTATAAAACCAAGGATCAAAGTGGCACTTCTAATCCCGATGCGAACTTTATAGTCTCTTGGTTTATATTAGTTATTTATGCACCAAGGTAGTAAACATTATCAGTATTACCCAGGAACCAAGATTATAAGGTATAAGGTCTCGTGGTAATAACAATGAACTTACCACAAAGGTGTTCATTAAATTTTAATTAATTAAATTAAATTTCAATCATTTATAGTTCAGTGTAACTGAAATATGGACCTATTGTCACTAGAAGAGCAGTTCTTTTCTATACTAATTAAAATCTAGTGAAACCATGTTCATGGCAGTCGTTATTGATAAATACCTACTAACTAGATTCGATGCCATTCTTGCGAATCCCAAACCTTTTTCGCTCTACACACAGGTATACATACCTATATGTATTTGGTATTATGGTACACATACTATACCTCGTAGATTAAGCAATATTTATTGATTTGATCACATTGTCCGTGTATAATAAATAACTTCATAAGGACTAAAAACTGTCATTAACAATTACTGAATAACTCATTAATGTCACCGAACTGTCATGTGTTTGATATTTCCATGGATATCTAAAATTAACTTTTTCATAAAATTATATTTTTCACAAAAAGCGGCTTTATTAAGAAAACTTGATGATTTAGGTATAGGGACATGCTATGTCATCTTCTAGCATTTTTATTCGTCTTTCAATTTATTGAGTAAAAAACAGTGGGTTCCATTTGAAAAAATTAACTTTTGACCACTTGTATGAACAACGGATATAATAATGATTCGAGCACGCCTTGTATGATATGGAGGCGACTTCTCGATGAAAATTGAATACACCAAGCCTGTCCAAACCACCACTAAAATAGCAACTCTTTATGATTCGAGAGCCCTGATTTACATAAGTTTAATTAGGGATATATTTTGTATCATATTTAACACAAATTATTCCTTATCTCGAAAATAGATAGAGATAGGTATAGGGATTTATTGACAAAAGAGTATTGTAATAAAAAGGCAATTCTGAAAATTTGTTAATATACGGGGTGTTCCATTTGAAAAAATGAAGTTGCTAGGACTTTTTGATAGAAACGGCAACGTCGCAATTTCGAAAATATTTTAGGTCGATAGGACAAATGATAAAATGTAAGATGCGAAATTTTTTCTCCATAAACGTCTAACGTACCATCGACCGTGAGTTACCCTGTATAAAGATTGTAGAGATCAGTAGTCTGAAATGGAATCGAATTCACATAATCATCATCGAAATTCGTTACAATATCTTCATCAGAAGTGATGGTAAAATCCCATTTTATCAGCAAATGACACCACCTAATATCTTATCACAATACATTTCATAGCAAAATAAATTTCCTAAACAAATGGAGAGGTCCTATCCTATAGATAACTAATTGCCTATTCATCCAATGATTTCTCTTTGCGATCATTTGGAATCATTTATTCGAAAATTTCTTACGATTTTCATTGGTAACTATTCATCTCATTTTGGTGACATAAATCCCTAGGTGGTGCTGTCGATTCAATCTTGGGGCGTCTCTGTCTGCAACTTCATCAGTGACGGCTCGTCAGGGACGGCAGGGTCGGCCGAGCCGTACCAGAAAAAATGAGGAACAGGAGAGTTACACAGGATGTCTCTACAGGGCATCGTATGCAACTCTCTCCACTTCCTGCGTAATGTGCGTTTTATTACTCTTGTTATGTAATATATTATTACCTGATTTTGATGGTGTCCCAGTTCTTCCTAAGGAAATTGAACAGGCTGGTGTATCCATTGGCGCCCCCAGTGAGCATGCTGAATATTAAATAAATATCGTTATCCGTGAAGTTTCCATTCTGCTCCAGAACCGTTATGTTCAGCAGCTTCTCTATCTTGTTGGCATCATTCGGACATCCGGCTAGGGTCTTCAATAAGTAGGTGCGTTCGCTGGGCTTCCTCGAAGCTGGAAATTTGATAACGCGCTCCAGGCCGAATTCCCATTCCCTGAGCGTTCCCCATTTGAAGACGGGGCATATGTATTGATTGGCCACACTTGAAACAAGAAAAGTGATCGATTGTCAACATTGTATCGGTTTGATGATCATTGGTGGACATAGGCACCGTCAAAAAATCCCGTTCCCAGAGCGTTCCCCATTTGGAGACTGATTGGTCAAACTTGAAACAAGAAAAGTGATCGGTTTGATGATCAGTGATGGACATAGGTGCTATCGGAAAAAATCCCATTTCCTGAACGTTCCCCATTTGAAGACGGGACATAATATGTACTTATTGGCCACACTTGAAACAATAAGAAAAGTGATCGATTGTTCTACATTAGTGATATTCTTTCATTCTAAACTAACCGAGACATTTCACTTGAAATGAACAGAATCAGTTGACATTCATTGTACATAATGATCGTCATGCAAAAGAACGAGTCAGTTCAGTTTTAGTGAAATATTTCAGTTAGATCAGATTGAAAGAATAATACTATTGTATCGGTTTGATGATCAGTGGTGAACATAGGCGCCGTCAGAAAAAAATCCCATTTCCTGATCGTTCCCCATCTGAAGACCGGGCATTTATGTACACTCGTCTTCAGTGATCATGTGGCACATGGACGATGTCAGCTCCCTTAATCACCGCTGCAATAAGAGCGCTCATACCGTCCAACCGCGACATGTTAACTGAAGACGAGTGTATATACTAATTGGCCACACTTGAAACTAGGAAAGTGATCGATTGTTCAACATTGTATTGGTTTGATGATCAGTGGTGGACATAGGCGCAGTGAAAAGAAACCCATTCCCTGAACATTCCCCATTTGAAGACGGGGCATATGTACTGATTGGCCACACTTGAAACAAAAAAAGTTATCGTTGTTCAACATTGTATCGGTTTGATGATCAGTGGTGAACATAGGCACCATCAGAAAAAATCCCATACCCTGAGCGTTCTCCATTTAAAGATGGGGCATATGTACTGATTGGCCACATTTAAAACAAGAAAAGTGATCAATTGTTCAACATTGTATCGGTTCGATGATCAGTGGTGCTGAGCGTTCCCCATTCGAATACAGAGGCAAATGTACTGATTGGCGATCCATGAAACAGGAAAAGTGATCGATTGTTCAACATTGTATCGGTTCGATGATCAGTGGTGAACAAAGGCGCCGTCAGAAAAAAATTCCATTCCCTGAGCGTTCCTCATTCGAAGACGGAACATATGTACTGATTGGCCACACTTGAAACAGGAAAAATGATGGATTGTTTGAGTTTGTATCGGTTTGATGATCAGTGGTGGACATAGGCGCCATCAGAAAAAAAAATATTTCCCTGAGCGTTCCCCATCTGAGGACGGGGCATATGTTCTGATTGGCCACACTTGAAACAAGAGAAGTGATCAATTGTTCAACATTGTATCGGTTCAATGATCAGTGGTGGACATAGGCGCCGTCAGAAAAAATCCCATTCCCTGAGCGTTCCCCATTCGATTACGCGGGGGGGCAAATGTACTGATTGGCGATCCATGAAACACGAAAAGTGATCGATTGTTCAACATTGTATCGGTTCGATGATCAGTGGTGAACAAAAGCGCCGTCAGAAGAAAATTCCATTCCCTGAGCGTTCCTCATTCGAAGACGGAACATATGTACTGATTGGCCACACTTGAAACAGGAAAAATGATGGATTGTTTGAGTTTGTATCGGTTTGATTATCAGTGGTGGACATAGGCGCCATCAGGAAAAAAACTAATTCCCTGAGCGTTCCCCATCTGAGGACGGGGCATATGTACTGACAAGAAAAGTGATCGATCGTTTGAGTTAGTATCGGTTTGATGATCAGTGGTGGACATAGGCGCCATCAAAAAAAAATCCCATTCCCTGAGCGTTCCCCATTTGAAGACGGGGCATATGTATATACTGATCGGCCACCCTTGAACCAAGTAAAGTGATCGATTGTTCAACATTGTATCTCAAAGGAGGAAAGGAATGCTCGAAGTCATCTCCACAAATTTTAATGGTGTTGTTACACAATCATAAGGGACATGTTTCGGTCTTATGAAAGACCATCTTCAGCATAACTGAAAGTTTTACAATATAATAAGATTGATGTGAAGGAATTATATAATTTGTTCTTGACTTACTTGGAGTTGAAAAAATGTGTTGCTACTAGTTGTGGAATGGGCGAGTGGACTGATAATGAATTATTGGTAATTCAATTACTACATTGTGTCGTTAGGGACCTAAATTAATTTTTCGCAACACTTTTCAGACTTTTTTCATGTGAATAATGAGTGTATGCGTTTTCGAAATTGTCATGGCCACTATTTGGCGATACGTGGAATAAATGGTGACGACGTTTTTCATGCTGTTTCGTTATATTATAATCAAGTTATCAAAAAGATGTGAGAGTCCTGTCGTTGATTGAGATATAATAGGAGGAACCCATGATATTATAATTCATTCTTGACTCTTTCAAGCAACCAGCATGTCCAGATATTTCTAATACTCCATAACAAAATTTCATGTAACTGTTGGAGACTTGGCAACATTGTGCTGAATGCTGCGAAGTAACAAAACCACACCCACAAGTCGTGCGCGCGGTGTTGTCACGTTCACCGTTTCAACTGTGAATTAATATAATTACTGTTTAAACAAATGTATTATACGCAATAAGTCACAAATCACCAGGGAACATTTGGAGACAATTGATTTTGTATTGTTCAATAGGAATATTACCAATACATAATTGAGAATTTATTAATGTTTGAATAACTAATATTTCAGAAGTTACCTATCGTATTTTAACACATGGCAACTCTGTGCTATGGTCAGCCCCTATACTTACGAAAACGTGACATCAGATCTTACTGGCGGTAAATTTATATCCGTGAAATCGAAAGGTACCTACTTGAGTGATGATTCTATATCTGGGAAATGAAAAATAGTCCTTTCGCCTATATTGTTGTCAATGCCCTTAGTCGAAAAATTGAGTTTATGAATGAAAAAAACGGGTTCTCAATAAAATGAAGGGCCCCGTGCCCTGAGAGCGCCAACCATACATCTCATCGAAATTTCATATACCAAAATGGTATATCAAGGGTAATTGCCAGAAAGTTTTGTTTCTCTTTTTCAACAAACCCGTTAATTTATTGTGTTGTCAAAAACAAAACCCTTTGGCAATCACCCCTCATATACCATGGTAGGTATAAACCAGGGCCCTTCATTTATTGAGAATCCGTTTTCTCATTCATAAACTCAATTTTTCGACTATGGTCATTGACAACAGTTCCAAAACTAGTAGCATCACATATTTTCAACTCCAAGTAGATCAAGAACAAATTATATGTAATTCTTCCACATCAATCGTTTTGTATTGTAGAACTTTCAATTATGCTGGAGATGGTCTTTTATAAGACCGAAACATGTCCTATATCTTATGATTGTGTAACAACACCACCAACATTTGTGGAGATTACTTCGAGCATACCTTCCTTCCTTAGAAAAATTTCCCTCCACTTTGAGCAATATGGACTTCTACCAATTATTGACATTGTATCTGTTTGATGATCAGTGGTCGACATGGGTGCCGTCACCCTGCTTGAGGCTCTTGTTTGTTGATGTATTTTTTGATAAAATCAATTATCTTGAACAGTCTCTATTTGCATCATTGCACTGAAGGGATTCATAAATTTTCATTTATGCTAATCGACTTTGGAAAATGTGGAACTTTCGCTTCTTGAGTTCAGTGCGTGAATTAAAACGATGCGCGAAGTACATACTTCGCGCATTGTATGTAAACAATATGTGATTTTTGTATTCAAACTTCATAGTCCTCAATCCAGCAAACATCCAAGAAATCATTCATTTCTGAATGTTTAACAATAATTAATATGCTTTATAAGCCAGTTCAACACTATTTTTATTTATACAGTGTGTCCCACTTACCATGCTCACCATGGGTATCTTTTTAACGGCGAGAGATACGAGGTCGGTTAAATGACACCAAATGTGGAGTTTGTCAAGGCCAACTATAATGTGAAAAAATATTTTGATTAAATCCATTCGTTTTTGTTTTATACGCAAAAAACAGATTTTGATCATTTTCATGTCTCCTCCGTAACTTCTTTATTTATGAAAATATTCAAATAGGAATTTCACATTCTCATATCAGTTTTTCAAAATGATTTCGAAAAAAATATGAAATTTATACCAACTCTTCTAGAATTTGAGATATCAGCACCAACTTTAGTTTTTCAAATGTAGGTCATAGCTCATTATGACTTAGTTACAAATAACTTTTTTTCTCTTACAGATAATATGTCGCAGTAATAGTTTTGTGTTGATAACAACGGAGTTATCGTCATTTATACAAAAACAAAAAATTATTTGGAAGCCGCCATCTTGAATTTATAAATTTCAACAGAAAAATCATGATCTCCGACCTCAAAAACCCCCACTTACCAATTTTGAATGTAATCGGACCAAATATTGTCCGCTATCTTGGAGCAGCCATTTTTTTTAATTTCAGCGAAAATTCCATAACTTCGATTAACTTGAAATTTGGCAGGTGTTCATAATTTCGGTGACAATTCATTATGGAATTTTTGTATTCAAACTTCATGGTCCTCAATCCAGCAAACATCCAAGAAATCATTCATTTCTGAATGTTTAACAATAATTGATGCCTTTTAAGCCAGTTCAACACTACTTTTATATCAAGCTAAACATATTACTATATACTTTAGAACTTTATTTTTGACACGTGTAGGAAAACTGTTGTTAGCAACTCGTGCGCGAAACACTTCGGTTATCTCGACTTTTTATAACTCGTTGCGCATCGTTGAAAAAATCAGTTTTCGATCACCAGTGTAGCATTTCGCGCACTGGATACAATAATAACTATTGGCTAGAGACAATCTACCGGCGAGGTGACAAGAGTTTGATTAAAATAGAATGAACTATCGACATATCAAATATAATGAAGTATACAGGGTAGTGTAGTATTTTGGGATCGAGTGAAATAATCTTGATAAAGATCGAAATATTG